GTCGGATAGAGCAGTGTCGAGTGGGAACGATGAGCGCGGGTTGAGGAATGGTGAGTTAGAATATGAAGGGATCATGCTACCCAACGTGGTGGATATTAACTCATACGAGGCGCAGATCCCAGAATCCACGCGTCTTTTTGCCGAAGGTAGCACCCCCTCCACGGCTAAACCCTCCCCCGATAAACTTTCTTATGAACTCTCGACACCACACCCGCAAACCCCATACCAACTCCCCGATAATCTCATCGAAAGCCATTGTGCGGATGCCTTTCTTATGGGAACGAATACCGAACTTACCCTGAACTTCACAGACAGAGAAACGAAGGATTCAAAAGGTTTGGTGACGTCTTTGAATTCCCCTACTCGCCTGTCTTCGCCCACGGAATCGTTTTTGGAAAGTCTGGCGAAAAAAGTATCTTTTCAACGCGTACGTAAGTTATTTTTACACTGGCGGGATCATCGATACTACACGGCGGTAGCCCTGCGCTATATACGAACCCTCCGTAGCGAACACGCGCGTGAACACTACTTCCACCACTGGTATAGATGCACAACCGCACACTTTCGATCGAGAAAAGAGCTTGCGGATCAGAAGAGATGTGAACAGGTGGTGAAAACGAAAGTGAAGGAGTTTTTGCGTGGTTTGCTGCGGCGATGGTGGGATGCCACGCTGACGGCTCGCTTTGCCATGCAAAACACCGGGCGGCGGGTGTTTTGTCGCTGGCGTCGAGCAGTTATCTGCTTAGCGCACAGACGGAAATACATCGGCACACACGGAGGCTATTCTTCAAGCGTTGGAATCCGAGAACGAGGATTACTTCGAAACTTTTGGGATCTGTGGCGTGAACGATTTATGCATGTGTATGCCTCAAGATGGCATAAACAACGACAACAACAAAAAGTATTATTGAGCCTGCTACAACGGGCTAAGGAACACCGATACGATAAATCTCTCCTTTTGTACTGCGATAAGCTACAAAATGCATTAGTCTTTAGAAGGTGGCGTGATCACTTTATAATGAAAACTCGATTGCGCACTTATTCGGAGAATTATACACAACGACGGATGCAGTCAACATTCGAATATTGGAAAAATAGATACACTTTGCGAGGCGCCTCCACTGAACAGGAAGTTGAACTTCAAAGACTTCATAAGAGTAAACGGCTGGAACACAACTTCCTTTTTTGGCGAAAAAGCCTCTGGCTACGACGGCGGCTTCGTGAGGTAAGTGATCGATGCCTCTTAGGTCGAGAGGAGTTGATAAAGCTCACCTGGGATCGCTGGGCAATACGCACACGATACCGCCTGGTCTGGTGGCAAGATCAAGCTGAGGTTGCTAAAAGATTCCATCTGTACGTTTTAGCACGACATAGCCTTCTTCATTGGGTGCGCCGATTAACGGAACATCAACAGGCTCTCAAAGTCGACATGGATTCCCGCATGGAAATCGAAGCCTCCAATCACTATGACTTTCATCTATTCGCAAATACTTTCTTTAAATGGAAAACTAAGATGTTTCTGATTACGAGATTCAATGTCAATGCGCGTCCTAAGCAAGAAAAACCTGTTCTCCAGCAGCCTGCTGTTATAAAAAACATGTCGACAAATAGTCGGAAAGGTGCGTTTGTTCAGCCAGAAAAGGACAAAATCCCCAAAACATCCAATATCCCAACACCATCGACACGAAGTGTAGACTCGCCACCCCCGAAATCGGAAAGCTTGAAAAAAGCTTCGGAGGGACGGGAAAAAAAGGCACCCGGTCTATCTCCGAAATCCTTAATCCCTACCGCCTCTCGGACCGGACACCTGCCGCGAAAAAAGGTCCCTACAAAAATTCAGAGAAGTGCCAGCCATGCATCAACTGCCTCAAAGAAGGGCAGTAATAGCTCAGCTCCCTTGTCAACGCCCACCTTACGCCCATCCCCGTCATCGGCAAAGATCTCAATAGCTAGCGAGGCCGTAGGTCCTGCGCGTGAAGCGTTCCAAAGGGATACGGGCGCCCTTGGAAGGGATCTTCCAGCCTCAACTCGAAACCAAAGACTCCATCACACCTCCGCGCATACAACCGAAGCGTCCAGCCCATATACCAAAGAAACTAAATTGGTTTTCACGCCGCCTTCATACAAACGCCCTCTTCTATTAGAGAGGCAGCTTCTTTCGTTTATCTCTAAAAAGAAATCCTTGTTAGCGATACGAATGCAGCCGTTTCAAGTTTGGAATTCCCAAACGACATATACAAGCAAGGCGAATACCGTAAAGAAGCCTTCACTGCCAAACAACTCAACACACATCCATCGCACAAAAACGCACCCGCCTGACAATATCCCCTCCCTATCCCGACAAGTGGATTCCTGGGATTTATGCCTTACCGCTTCAAAGTACTACTCACAGTTGCTGAACGGTGATGGCGCCTCTTCAAGGCGTGAAGATCTGTACGAGGATGCTATGACATCAAATGAACGGAGACGAAGGCACGCTTCGCTTGGAATGCGGGATGAAGGTCTAAACGTTTCACAATAATGCCCAGAATGAAAGAGTAAGTTCTGGCATTTGTACCTTATTAATCGATCAAATTCTTTTTCACTCCCGAGGGATTTATTTCCTCTTCATAAATTTTTACGTATAGAATAAATTTTTCAGCTTTAATTACAACAATGGTGGTACCAAGATGTCCTTTTGAGTCCTTTAAGCCTGTTTAGTGAAATGTTTCTCTAACTTCTATCTTCTTTGATTCCTTTATTGCCCACATTTTACTCCAAGGTCCCTTTTCTCAAAATAAAGGAATACAGAACAAGGGTGAAAAATAAAATTATTCCTTCTGTTATATAAATTTCTCGCAAAGTGAGGCTTTTAAGTATAAAGGACACAATCGATACTTTCCATCCTTTTTTTCATTATACCACTAGGATATCTTTGCCGTTCGGCGTTGCGTAAAAGCATATACATAACCAGCTGTGAAACATATTTTTTACTACTTTCATTTTCCCTTGTTTGGCTTTCTAGTACATTACACAAATAGATTTTTTTGTGTAATAAGCATAATAGGGGCTTCCGGGAGATTTATAAAAAGTGTGAATTATCTTGGATAGTTTGTAAAAAATCTACACATATACACCAAAATCTATATATGATTCTTATACGCAACACACTCTATACAGCACCATGTCGACTTGTTGGAATTGCCGCTAAAACAAACTCCGTCGACGTCGTTCATCGCTGCAAAGTTAGTTTCCTTAGTTCGGATCTCGTGTCATCTAGACGCAAGGTATCGATTGGTTTCTCTTCTCTTTTGAACTCCACACGCCACTTTTCCTGTGGGACCATCTGGCGTAAAAACTCAAAAGACAAGTCCTCATGTCCAACCACCTATAAAGGGAGTAATCCAAACGAATTTAGCCGTAAGGTGCCCGAAGAAGGTTATTTAGCGGCCTCCAACGCCTTCAAAGATGCTAACCGAAATGATATACAACCATCAAAGCAAAGAGATCAAACCGAGGCGAATACCACCTCAAAAGGATCTCCGGCCACGAAGCCTCAGGAGCCGGAAAAGACCCACACGCCCCCTGTGGCGAGTCTAGCGGTTGCCACTGCCGCATCGACCTCAGTGCGATCGCAGAAACGAAAGCCGACCCAGAAAGCGGCCGGTGCGAACCCAAAGAACGAACGTGGCCCTTGTCCATCACCCACCGCAGCCAACAGCCGAAAAGGAAGCAAAGTGAAACCGGTCAAGAGCACCGGGCCTGAGGATAAGGCACCCGTGAGTCCCGGCACGGCATCCTCGTCGATGAAAAAAAAACCAAGAGCCAAAAAACCCAGCGCCTCCGTGCCGGAGCTGGTTTCCAGCCCCCACAGCGAGCGCAAACATCGCACGAGCAAAAAGGCAAAGGATGGGGTGATGACGAGCATCATTGACCTTCGTCTGGAAAAGTCCCCCGCCGCCTCGCGCTGTGCGGATTGGCGGAAGTCGCATTTAATCAGCCCGACCATCTACTTCACGGAGAACTGCATCACGGAGCAGCCTCAGCCGACGGAGGAGGAGTTGGTCGCCGAGCGCGCGAGCGTCACGAAGCTCTTCATGGTCTCCGACTCCGTCGCCTCCTTCTTCTCCGCCCTACCGCAGGATCGCGGGGCGATCACCAGCTACATCAACCAGATGGATCGGGCCGTCCCCTCCGTCTATATGGACGCCCCCGCCGAGGCGGCGGACCCGTTCGAGGAGGCGTCGTTCGACCTCTTCACCAAATTCGAGGCGGGGGCGGACATCCGGCGCCGGGTGATGGCCGAGGAGTGCGCCGACCACGCCCTCTGCATCCACGTCCGCGATATGGAGCAGCTCGTCCCGCCGCCGGACCTCCTCCAGGCCCCCACTCCGACGGA